AGAGGGACCTCATGGGAACTGGCGGCGGTCAGCCGGGCAGACCGCCGGGGAGGAGCACCTCGCCTCCCAGAAGTGTGTGGGGAAGCTTGTCCCCCAACTACAGGGGGGCCAGGAGGCAGGAGGTTCTTCCCGGCCACCCAGCTGACCTCTGGGAGCCTGGGGTGCCTGCCCCGCCCCACCTCACCTGTTCCCTGTGCTTTCGGGGTCCCAAGCCAGAGCCCAGCGCCGTCGGGACTCAGAAGAGCGGCCGCTTGAATTGGTGGGTGTGTCTGGGCCCCCCCAAATGGGAGGACGGGCTGCACTGCCCAGTGTACCCTGTGGGACCGCTCCCGTGCTTTCCTGGGGGACGGCACGCACGGGGCCGCACGACCAGACTCCGGTCCGGGACGTCCGTGTGCGGTCAGGAGGGACACTGATAACCTGGGGCTGTGGGGCTGGGGCAGGGCCTCCCCGGGAGGAGCACCAGGGAGGGAGCCCCGGGCTTCCAGGTCTCTCTTGGTTTGGGGAGCTCAAGGGGCACCGCATTCGCAGCCAGGAGAGGAGCGGGGTCCTGGGGGCCGTCTGGGGGCCCAGGCGTCCCCTGAAGCCAGAAGGGAACCTCACCGTGTGGGAATGTCGTGCCAGGGCTGTCCCCGGGGTCCCTCCCCAGCTGTGCAGAGACCTCCGCCACACCTCCAGTGTCCAGGCTGGGACGGGCTCTGAGCGCCGAGGGCAGAGCTGCTTCCGTAAGCGCCAGGAAAGCAGTGCTCCCTCGTCGTTAACGGGATGCCAGCATCTGGTGTGGGTTCTCGGCACGGTTGATGGGACCGTCGCCAGGGGGCGAGGGCACCTCCTGCCCCCACAGCCCAGACTCCAGCCCCGGCCCCTCCCCCAACATTCTCCCAGACCCCATTCTAGAACATTCTCCATCTGCACTCCTGAGCTCCTATGGTCGCTCATTCCTCCCGTCACACCACATACCCTGAAAGAACTGTAGGGGCCCCCGTTTGCCTGCCTGCCAGTTACCCTCAACCCTTACCACCACTCGATAGGACAGCTTCGTCCAGGGGAGGCCCCAGAAACCTGAGAGCCCAGCGTGGAGGCCTCCTCCCAGTCCTCCCTCCTGGATGCCCGCCTGGATGCCTCTCTCTGGGCCACCGCAGTGCCACCCGCCCCCACCACAGTGCTCATCCCTGGCCTGTCCTGCACACGTGGCCATGAAGGGGTGCAGGGCGAGGGTGTCGGGAGAGGTGCGTGTCCACAGCACGCCGGCTTGTGGTCCAAACCCAGCGTCCCTCCCACCTCCCCTCACCGTGGCCAAGGCGTCCTAAACGGGCCTCAGACTTCGTACCCCCAGAACTCTGATTTTCTCCCGTTAGCAGTTCTCGTTGTGAGATCTGGCACATTTGCGAAGGAATACCGAACCCCATCTTCCTAATCTGAGCGTGGAGCACGGCCCTGTGGACAAGCACGGGGAAGCTCCCAGGACTCCAGGCCAGGGTGGGGTGCTCCTTCCTGCTCAGGGGAGTGCTGACGGGTGGGTGCTGGGGGCCAGGCCGGAGCCCGGGGGGGACAGGGTGGCTCGTGGCCAGAGTAGGGCCCAGTTCCCGAGGAGGTGGGCTGCCTTGGGAGCTTCTGCTGCACACACCCACCCATTCTGGGGATATCTTAGGGCTCCCCAGCCCGATGCTTCCGGGATAGGTGGCCTGAGGGCCGCTGAGGGTCAGCCAGGTGACATGGCCCCAAACCATGGGGTGCGTCCATGCCATCGGCATCCCAGGCTCGGGGGCGCCGAAGGGCCCGGACGGCTGGGCCGAGTCTTCACTCCCTCCCAGTCCGGCTCAGAGGTGGTGCCGACAGAGGTCGGAGGGAATGGGTGACCTCAGCTGGACACGAATGGAAGAGCTAGAGTCGGTTGTGCTTTTATTTGACCGTATAGTGTTTCTCCATCCAGCAAATACCGACCACCTGCTATGTCCCAGGCACTGATGCAGATTTCAGGGACAGACCGCTCGTGTCCCCGCGTGATTTATGACACAGAGAGAGGGAGGGAGGGATGGTGAGCAGGGAAACCGGGTTCAGCCTCACATAGTCGTATGAACTACAAACTGGCCTGGGGTGAGCAGGGGAGCACAGAGGGGTCTGTGCACCATGCACGGTCAGGGAGGCTCTGCAGGGCTGCATGAGCCAGAGAGCAGGCGCGAAGGCCACGTGGGGAAGAATGTTCCAGATGAGAACACAGAGACCCAGGAGGAAGACCACAGTGACCACGCCGATGACGTCTGGAGCTGCGTGAGGTCAGGACGAGGACCGGGGTTGGGGACGAGACGATGTGATGCACCTTTGGAACCACACGGACCTCGGTTTCCGTCTCCGTGACCACTTACGGGACCACTTACTCCCTGAGCCTCCGTTTCCCCATCTGTAAAATGGGATGGCAGTGCTTCCTGCCCCGCTGGGTTGGCGTAAGCATCACCCGGGCTGACGGCATCATCCAGCCCCCGGCCCAGCGCCTGGAGGACCCGCGCCCCTGAGGGACATTTAGCGCGTCCTGTGCTGCTGCAGGGCATGCACGCACAGAGTTTCAAGGGACCGTCACAGAGGCCCCGTCTGGCCGGCGCTCTGCAGGCCAGAGCTGAGGCGCGGCCCCCACGCCCTGCCCTGTGGACCAGGACCTTTGGCGTCTCTGTCTTGCAGGTAAGGGAAGAGCTCAGATGGGAAAGGACTTTTCCTGGCCCGGTAGCCCGAGGAGCGAGTCCTCGGCAGCCCGGCGGGGCGGACGCTGCTCTAGACACTCAGTGAAGCTTGGGCAAGCGCCCATCCAGGGACAGAAGGGACCTCTCCTCCACCTGCGTCAAGACCTGCCCAGCCCCATGCGAGTGGCCCGTGGCCTCCTGGGAACTGCACGCCGAAACCCAGTTCCCGAGGGGGAGACGTGGCCCATGGGAGTGGCGGGATCACAGCGCTGAGGATGACCCTCTCCCGGGGACACGCGGGGCCGGAGACCCGGGAGCCCTCCCTTCCATCTCCAAGGACGAAGGGCACCTGGGCTGCAGGCGCAGGCCGGTCTCCAGGGGAGCATGAGCACCATGAGAGCATGCGCTCTCCATGCAGTGCCCCGGGGTGCAGCGAGCGGGGCTCCGCCACCCGGACCGGTCACTTTCCCTGCCTGCTCTCCAGTTTTTCGTCCATATAATGGGGACAAAAGAGCTCAGGCTCATTGAGAGGCTGAAATGAGGGAATACGTGCAGAGCACTCAGTGCCCGGTACAAAGTCCTGAAAAATCATTCCATTCTTACAGGCGACCGCCAAATGAAGGGGGAGTCCCAGGGGGCGCGATGACAGAACTGGGCGTGTGTCATATGCTGGAGTTGTACCCCCACATTACTGGGGTACCTAATGCCTGAGTGTATGCTTACCTGCCTCACCTGGGGCCTTCCCTGGATAATGCGGGCTTACCTGCCTCACCTGGGGCCTTCCCTGGGTCTTGCCGGCTTACCTCTCAACTGTTGGGCTTTAGGAGCTCAGCCCCTCCCCCACCCTCTCCCAGGTGTTTCTGGGAGCGGCACGGTGTCCCGGGCGTGCTCTGCAAGAACTCAGCAGAGGTCAGTAGCCGTGCCTGGGGCCCGGAGCTCCTGCCAGCCTTCTGCCCACTGGTGGCCGGAGCCGTGGGTCAGACAGCAGCAGGGAGCAGCCTCCGCTCCCGCCCGGCGGCCCCATCACACTTTCCACCCCGTCCCACCTCGGTGGGTCCCTGCCCCGGTGCTGACGTCATGCTGGGACCTCCTCGATTTTCCTGGCCCACGACAAGTGCCCTCGCTGCCCTCGGCCGCGCGGCTCGTGCCGGTTCCCGAGGGCGTGGGGCTGCGAGGTAGGGATGCGGCACGAAGGTCACGGGCAGCACGCGGGGGGTGGGGTGGGAGGAGATGGGGGCGCGGCAGGGAGGCTGGGGGTGCAGGGACCCAGCGGGACCAGGAGGGGACTGCCACTCAGGGTGGCCACGCAGGTGGCACTGGACCCAGGGCGCAGCGTCCTGGCCGGAATATCCTGGTGGCACTGCAGCGTGGGTCCGGTCGTGCAAGCCCTGAGGACACCCTGGCTGCAGTCGTACCCCCCCCACCCCGCGTGGCCCGCTGGGAAACGGAGCCCCTCCCCGTCCCCCGGGGCAGGAGGTGGGGGCTGCCGGGACAGCGCGCCAGGACGGTTTGGTGCAGGGCTGCGCTCCGTGCTCTGTGCCCGGGCCGGACTTGCCAGCCAGCCCTGCAGAGGGGACGCCCTGACGTGCAGGGGGTCTGGGGAGGGACGGGGCCATCTGCGCCCCAGGACAGGGCGGCCCTGGGGGAGTAGCAGAGCTCAGGGTGAGGGTGGAAAGTGGGCATGGAGCCCCCCACCGTGGGGTGGGATGTACCCCGAGAACCTCAGCCCACGCAGGGCTCCTCCCCTGCCCGCTCATCGGGAGGGGCCTCAGGGACCCCCGTGCTGCTGGACAGGGAGGCTCAGCTGGCTGTTACACCCCCCAGGAAAACAAGGCAGCAGGAGAGACACAGGGTATGGGGTTACTTAGAGATGCTGAAGCTAAACGTGTTGCCGGCATCCGGCATCCGGCATCCAGACAGGGAGGGTCACAGGGAAGGGAAGGGTGCCCAGACTCCAAGCTAGGGCTCGGAGCTCGCCGGTGAAGGTAGCTGCGACAGGAGACCCCGGTCTGACACACGGACCTTCGCCCCTGTGGTCTAAGCCCCGGGTTCCCCTCTGAGCAGTATGAAGCCCCAACCCATCACCACCCCTTCTGCGTGGAGCTGCTCCAGACGCCCCGAAGGCTCGCCCCCAGCTGGTGAATGGCTCATTGCAGCTGCTGGGATGTTCTGCAAGGCGTATTCAGAGTAACAAAGTAGCAAGTATTCAGAGTAACAAGCCGTAAATGTCGGCAGCTGTAGCCCATGTGAGCCAAAGCTCCTGGGGGTCCCCGTGGTCTGTCCGCGTGAGAGGCCCCAGGAGGGGTCACCCGCTGGTCTCCCCGTCCTCTGACGCCTGGGGCTGTGCCCGCGGCTCCTGGACGGGCACCCTCGGGGCCCTTCCCACGCCACGGGACTCGGTTCCGTGGGGACGGCTGAGATGAGCCTGAGGTTCACTGTTGGGGTCAGAGTCACAGCTGGGACAGACGTGGCAGGGCCCTTGGACGTTCGGTACAAAGAAGGCATTCTTCATTTTGCGGGGCTGTGCCTGAGCTAGGGGCGTCCGGGGACCGTGAAGCCCAGAGCGGAGTGTGGGGGGCACGCGGGAGAGCGGCTGCCACGCAAGCCCCTTCAGGGGTGGGAGGAGGGCCTGGAAATGAGGCCCAGAGTGAGGGGCGCTGTAGCGGGAGGCAGGAGAGCCTCCTCTGAATCCTTGGAGCTGTGCATCCCTGGGCAGGTGGCTTCTCCTCTCTGGCCTCAGTCTCCTCGGCTTACGAGGTGGGTGAACACTGGTAGCTACGTTTTGGGTAGTTGCGGGTTCAGATGAGGTGGGTCAAAAACCGAGCTTGGAGTTTACAGGACGGAGGCCCTGTGCGGGGGTCGGGGAGTGGGCTTGGCGGGGGTGGTTGTCGACTGGGGCTGGTTCAAGCTACCCGTGACACAGCCCCTCCCGAGTGTCCAGAAGAGCCAGGCTGCCCCGAGAACTAGTTTGTGGGGTGCTCTCAGTGGCGGAACGATCCCGAGCCGGCTGGGACAGCGGGGGTACGATTTAGGGGTAACAGCTGGTGGGCAAGCGTCACAGTCTGGGTGACCCGAGGACGGGAGCTTGCGAGCGGAAGTTCTGGGGAGAGGCAAGGGCGCGGGAGCAGGGTCACGGGACCCGCGTCCACAGATAAGCTGTGAGTGCGCATGGTGTCCGGTGCTCAAGGCAGTCACCCCCCATCCCCCACCTGGGGTGGCGTCTCCTCCCTCCTGCTTGGTCCAGCCGTGGGCAGGTGCTGCCAAGCCCACTGTGCCTGGGGGACACTGAGGCACAATGGGGTTAAAGGTCAGAGGGCCGCGTTCATTCCAGAGCCCAGCTGGTGTTCAGGGCACTCCCTCATCGGGGGTCTCCTCAGCATCCTTCTGTGCCCGGCCCCCCGGGTCCTGGACGGCCAGGAGCTCACAGCCCACCCGGAAAGCTGGCCGGAGGGTCCAGCATCCACACAGCACGGTGCCTGGAGCCCCGGGGAGGAGGTGGGCAACACGCACATGCGGACCCCCACCCTATGTCTCCCAGGGGGAGGCCAGAGCTCTAGACACAGCCTTACCCGCGCCCGTCTCCCCGACCCCCTCCCGCCATGCCGGGCTCCTCGCTGCCCCTGAAGCCACCCACGGGGCCTTTGCACCTGCTCCTTCACTTGGGACACTTGCCCCATACCCTTCAGTGGCCCCTTCCAGGCTGCTCGGACCTGGTCTTCTCAGTGGGCCCCCACCAGCTCTGCCTTTTTTCCCCGGGCCATTTCTCCCCTTCCCACACCCCCTACTCGGTGCTCACTTTTACTGCCTCGTAGTGTGTGTGTCACATCACTAGAATTTAAGCTCCCAAAGTCCAGAGACCCACGCCTGTTTGGTCCAGGGGAGTTGGCCAAGCTCCATGGACGGGCAGGTGCTCACGAACTGTCCACCGAGCCAAGGAAGGAGGGCAGGCGCCCCTGTGTGCCCTGTGCTGGGCCCTCCCTGGCTGCCTCTGGAACGGCAGATCTCCCCCGGGTCCTTCTGGCCCCGTGGAGAGCCTGCCCGCGAGGACCCTTCGGCAGGCCGTGTGATTTGGTCCGTGTGTTCGTGCATCTGATGTTTTCTTCCTACAGCCAGGTTCTGTACCCTGTTGCAAATCGCCAGTGTTGTGCTAGAGTCTGGCGGGGAAGGCGGGGACGCCTGCCGCTCCAGGTGACGGGACGCCGTGCAGGTGCGTTCCCGTCCCTCCTCTGACTCTTCCCAGCTGGGTGGCTCTGGGGACAGTTTTAAACTTGCTGCACCCTCTTAGAAATGTGGGTAGCAACTCTCCCACCTCCCTGAGGGCTCAAGCCGAGAAGCCCCCCCCCAGGATTTAGCGGCCAGTTGTATTTGCTGCTGACCACCTAGTGCTTGGGGGTCCTTGGCAAGACCGTTCTGGAAAGCAGTTTGGTTGTACAGATCAAGATCCCTTAAACACATGGTGTCTTCTGGGAATCTCCTGAGGACATAGAAACTCAGACCTATGTACCAAGATGTTCATCACGGTGTTTTTGGGGCAACCAGGAGAAAAATAGCATTTTTTTTTTTAAGTAGGCTCCATGCCCAGCATGGAGCCCAATGTGGGGCTCAAACTCACCACCCTGAGATCAAGAGTTGGATGCTTAACCAACTGAGCCAGCCAGGTGCCCCCTAAAATGGCGTTTTTTAATAGAATGTCTAAGGACTTGGGAAAATGCTTATCATATGCGAAATCAAAAGCATGTAAGTTTGTGTGTGGAATCAGGCCTCATGTCTATAAAACATACATGTGCTGCTGTCTGTGACGGGCCCTTAGTGGGCACTCCGTCCTGGCCGGCCCCCGCCCCCCAACAGTAACTCCGGAACATAGGTCAGGGTATCTACACGTCCATAATGAGGGAAACCTGGGAAATCTAGAGGGCGTCTTGGTGTATACGTGTGTATATTTGCGTGTGTTTACATAGACGCCTGTGCCCACATGTGCATATGTGTGTGTACCTAGAGATTGGTTTTCCAGACGAACGTTTTAAGTCGGGGTTAGCCAAAGGGGGTGTGGGCTCATTTCTCCATTCTTCCCACAAAAACAAGGCCCGTTCCTGTTTCGGGGTTTTGCATCACTGGCCTGACTTTCTAAATTAAGCGTCGGCCAAGTGCCGCTCTCCGCCGCGTCCTGATGCCCCTTGTGCTCTGCTCTGTTATTCGTGCGTCTTTCTCTGGCTTCCTCCCTCGTCACCTCCCCCTGCTCGGCGAGGCTCCCCCTGCCCATGGAGACGGAGCCCGTCGTCCACCGGGAGCGTGGTAGTGTTTCAGGGTGTGTGTGGCGGGGAGGGGGCGTTGTCTGTGATGAGCACGGACGTGCCAGTCCGCGCTCCGACTCGGAAGACTCTGATCTGCGAACCGACTTTGTCCCGTTCTCCCGGCCCATCTGTCCTCCCCAGCGTCTCCTCTCCCCGCCCGGTCTGTTCCAGCCCTTAAAGCGCTCTTTGTTGCTCGGCCACATCGCCCTATTTATAGCTTTCCGTGGTTGGCACGTGTGCCCGCGCCTCGCGTGTGCGGGAAGCCTCTGGGCCCGGCGCTGTGCGGGCTCCCGGCTGGCCGGGTGACTCGGGGAGCAGGCTTCCGTCCTCGGGCACACGGGGACCGGCCAGGAAGGCCTGTGGTTGGGACAAGGAGGTGCTGTGGGGCCCCAGGCCACGGGGTGCACAAAGGGACAGAGCTGGTTTCCTTCTTGGGGGGCCCTTCCCTGGGCGCCCCCCATCGGAGGGCGGGTGGGGTGGGGGAGTGGGCGCCGGGGCTCCAGGCTCCCCGCCGTGGGGGGCTGGGCGGCTGGAGCAGATGCCGTCCTTCTGCCCCTGGCTGGGTGGGGGGCCGTGTCCACCGCCCGCCTGAGCGATCAGGCCCTGTGTGCTCAGTGGTGCCCGTCCCCCCTCCCCAGGGTGCTGCCACGCTGGGACGTGTCCCTGCCACCCCTTGCTGTTGCTGAGGACCCCCCACGCCGGGCGTCCTTCGGAGGGGAGACTTCCACTGTTCCCATCGGCCTGCAGGAAGGTTCCAGAAGAGCCGGTGGCTGTCCCCGGGGGAGGGGGTGTTCATGGGCAACAACAGGGGCTCCCCGGAGAGGCCAGGCCCGCCATGCTGCAGTGCAGGCCGGCCCAGGAGTTCTGCTTCGGCCCGCGGGCCCTGAAGGAGGCACTGGTCTCCACCGACCCCGCCCTGCGGGAGCGCTATGTGTCCTCCTTCACCCCTGCCGAGAGGCTTTTCCTGGCCGAGGCCTACAACCCCCGGAGGACCCTCTTCTGCACGCTGCTCATCCGCACGGCCTTCGACTGGCTCCTCAGCCGTCCCGAGGCCCCCGAGGACTTCCAGACCTTCCACGCCTCCCTGCCGTCCCGGAGGCAGAGCCCTGCCCGCAAGCACATCTACCTGCAGCCCATAGGTACCAGGCCGGGGGGCCCGCGGGTGGGGGCGCGTCCTGGAGCCGGCAGGGCCCTGCAGGGAACCTGACTCTAAATCTAGGTACGAGGCAGGGAGGCTGTGCCTGCCCAGGCCCCAGGCAGGCCCTGACAGGAACGGGGACAGCACTGGTGGGGTTGGGCGTGGGGGTGGGGGCAGGGAGCCCCCCTCGGCTCAGATGCTCCACCTCCCCCGCCCCCCCCCAGCTCAGACAGCTGTCAGAAAGCCCTGGGCCGTGGGGCCCTCTGTGGTCGTGTCACGGTCCGTGGCTCATGGGTGTGGCCTCGCCCAGGTGTGCCGTCCCAGGCCCTGTGCTGGGTGCCTTCCAGAGACCGGGTCCCCCCGTGGGGGCTGAGATTAGGACCAGCCCATGTCACAGGCGCGGAAACAGGCCGGGAGAGGTCACTCGACCCCCGTCACCCGGAGCTGGTGATGCGTGGGGGTGGGACGTGAGCGCTGCTGGCCTGTTTGACGCCGGGTGCTGGCGGGGGGAGCGGCCACTGGGCAGTCTGTGCGCTGAGGGCGGGGGTCCTGGCCCGGCAGAGAGGGGACGTGGGGCAGGTGTGGCTTTGCAGAGGAGGAGCCGGCTGGAGCTGGGGGGAGAACCTGTGAGTCCCCTGCAGGCAGCCCTCGTTTTCCATCACCCCGCGGCCAGTCCGCCCTCTCTGCCTAGAGACGCTGCCTCCACCCAGCCCCTAAACCATGCACTTTGCTCCGTGTCCCCCGCTAGCGGCTCCCCAGGGCTTCCCAAGCTCTCGTGAGCCGACCACGGGTGCCTCGTTAACATGTGGCTTCGGTTCTGAGGTGGCCTGGGGCTCTGCATTTCCAACCAGCCCGTCCCAGGCCCTCCTGGCTGCCACCCTCGGTCTGTGCCCCTCTGTCGTCCTAAAACACAGCCCGGTTGTGGCTCCCCCCAGGGGCACCTCACCCGCCCCCCGGCCTCGTCTGCACCCTCCCTGTGTCCCACTCTGCTCCTGCCAGGCTGGCTCTTGGCAGCACTAACCCGAGGGAGGGGCCCCTTTGCCCCGGCCGCCCTGCCAGCCTCAGGGACTGTGGCGCCTGATGAGGCCCCGCCACCCCTCCCAGAGCTCCCCGCCCCCCAGACTTGTGTCACCTGCATCTTTCATCTGGGCGTTGGCCTGTCCTCCATTTTTCTCCTTTGTTCTTTTAAAAATGTCTGTGTGCCCGACTCTGCAAAGGCAGGTCCGCGTCAGCCTCGTTGGCACAGTGGCTGGCGTGGCCGGGGGCGCTGGGTGGGGGCGCTGGGCGCAGGCCAGTGGGGGCCACGCAGCTGATGCGCTGCCCCGCCCCCAGACCTGAGTGAGGGGCCGGCGGGCGGCGCTCTACTGGAAGCCCTGAGGAACTGCACGGAGGCCTTTTTCTTGGGCTTGCAGGTCAGGTGCCTGCCCTCAGTGGCGGCCGCGTCCATCCACTGCTCCTCGCGTCCCAGCCAGGACTCGGACAGACTCCAGCTCCACACAGGTGGGTGAGTGCACGGGGCGCGGGCTCTGCCACTTGGCATGGGGCCCCTTCCGGGGGCCCTTGCTGTCTGCGTGTCTTGTCATTCTTCACTGTTAGCTGGACATCTTAATAGGAAAGGTAGTTTAATTTAGAAGATCTCGTGGCCGGGGGTGATGTGATTTGTTCTAGGGAGGATTCTGGTTTTCCTCTGCCAGGCAGCTTTTCTGGGCTGCCCGTGGCCCTGGGAGTCCAGCCTGCAGCCCCCACCCCCCACCCCCATCCCAGAAGCAGCTCAGCCTTAGCTGCCCGCTCCAATCCTCTCCCCGGTTCTAATTTCTCATCAGATTCTGATTTTTCTTTTTTAAGTCCCGTTTACTGAGGCATAATTCACATGTAGTGAAACCCTCCCTTTTGTAACAGCTCTGTGAGCCTTGATGAACACACCGGTGACCCAGTTGCCACTGTAATCAGACGTAGAAAAGCTTGCTTCACCCCCCCAGACATGTGCAGTGTCCCCTGCGGCCAGCGCCGCCCCATTTAGGATGCTTTAAGGAGTTTTTTTGTATTTCACCCAGCTTGTCTGGTTATCTCCGGCAGGAGGGCTGGCCGCAGTCCCCAGCGTGTGCCAGGGGGAGCTGATAGCACAGAGTTTTCGGGGGGGACAGGGAGCTCTTGGGGCAGATGCCATCCTGATGGTGCCAGGCTGCAGGTTTGGCCACTGAGACCCTCCTCTCCCAGTCCTAGACCTTGCTGGTCCTTCCTTTGTCCCCTGCCTACAGGACACGGCCCTGCTCCAGGCCCGGTCCCTGACTGCTGCGTCTCTGCCCACCACCACAGCACCTTCAGGTCCCTCTGACCCTCTGTCTCTTCGTCTAAGGACTCTAATGATTGCATTGAGCCCACCCGGATAATCCGGAATAACTTCCCATTTTAAGGCCTTCAGTTTAATCACGTCCACAGCGGCCCTCCTGCTGTGAGGCAGAACATTCACAGGCCCTGGGGACTAGGATGCAGGCGTCTCTGGGGCCGGGGTCCCATCCTGTGGCCGCAGGGGCACCGTCCCCTGAACACCGGCCCCGTTGGTCAAGTGGCCTTCTTGGCGTCCCCACTTGGATGTCTCTGGGCCTCTCAACTACCCCGTCCAAACCAGCTCTGCTGAGTTTTGGAAATGGAGACCCTGAGGTCCTGCCCACGTGACCCCGGCTGCCTGCCCCCGAGGCCCAGGCCTGTGGCCCCCGCTCCATGTCGTGCCGCGTGGCTGCTAGGACTTCTCGGCCTCGGACGACCAGCTGCTTGTGCAACGTGGCGAGCTTGCACCTGACTTTGGGAGGGGCTGGCGTGGGCAGAGGAAGAGGGGATGACAGGATTTCCTGCCCGGAGCCTGGGGCTGGCAGACGGGGGCCCAGCAGCCCCCTCAGCGCCCCTCGGGCCCTCTCCCCTCGCAGACGGCATCCTGTCTTTCCTGAAGAACAGCAAGCCGGGTGACGCGCTGTGTGTGCTGGGCCTCACGCTGTCCGACCTGTACCCGTGCGAGGCCTGGAGCTTCACCTTTGGCAAGTTCCTTCCAGGCCACGGTGAGCCAGAGCCCCGGCACCCCTGCCTCAGCCTGCGCTTGTGGGGGGCCCCGCCCTGGGCCAGCGAGCGCATGGGAGCGCCAACCCCCCCGGGGAGGATGACGCGCTAGCTGGAAGCCGCTGCCCTGAACGCGCATCCCCGCGTCCTGCCTCCTCTTGAGCAGGGACCTCGCGGCCACGTTCACGGGGGCGCGCTGGCAGGGCCGGGCCCCCAGGACCCGTGCACCCCGAGGGCGGGGCAGTTTTGCTCCTGGGCTCCCCGTGAGCGGCTGCCCTGGCGTGTCTGCCTCCCCCCAGAAGTAGGCGTCTGCAGCTTTGCCCGGTTCTCGGGGGATCTCCTGCAGTCGGGGCCCAGCGCCGCTGACCCAGCCCCGGCCGAGGTGGCCGCAGACAGCCCCGAGACTCCCGTGCGGGACGGAGGCCAGAGCGTGGGCTTCAGCGCCCTGGGGATGGTCCAGTGCTGCAAGGTGGGCAGGGAGGCCAGGACGTGGGGTCAGTGCACGGCGGGGAGGAGAAGATGGGGCAGCAAGGGGGTGGAAGGCCTGGGGGCTCGGGCGAGTTCTAGGAACCTGGGGAGGACGTGCGATCGGACAGAAGGGCGTGAGCGCTCCGTCCAGCCCTCACGACGAGGCTCAGGCTTCAGGGAGCGCAGACAGCAAGGCCCAGAGCTGGCCAGACCTTTGCCTGAGCTCACACAGCTGGGAAGGGGCAGCGTTGGGATGGGAGCCGGGGTCTTTCTGCCGCCCAGGCTCCCGTGCCGGGGCCCCTGGGGGCCGGCGCGCCGGAGACGTCCGCCTGTGCCCTGTGCCGTCGGGAGCGGGGCCGAGGGCACACGGACCGCTTCCGGCCACCGGGGCCCTGCGGGCGGGTGCGCAGCCCGAGGGCAGCGGCGCTGTGCGGGCTCCCTCAGGTCACGTGTCATGAGCTCTGCCACCTCCTGGGCCTGGGGAACTGCCGCTGGCTGCGCTGCCTCATGCAGGGGGCGCTCAGCCTGGACGAGGCCCTGCGGCGGCCCCTGGACCTCTGTCCCATCTGCCTGAGGAAGCTGCAGCACGTCCTGGGCTTCAAGCTCGTCGAGAGGTACAAGGTGAGTGGCGCTCCCGGGGCAGCACCCCCTCCGCCCAGCACCCGCCCCGCCCGGCCTCGCGCCCGGGGCTCGGAGGCCAGTGGGCCGGGAGGCGGGTCCCGGGTGCGAGAACCCCAGGCCGAGTGAGCAGACCCGCGTGCCAAGCTCTTGGCATCCTGCTGGTGCTGGGCAGCACGTCACGGCCTCAGCCGGGTGCCTGGCCCACGGTCCGCACCCAGTACTGGGGGCCGTGGCCATCAGGTTGGACGAGTGCGGGAGGGACAAGGGGCAGATGGCTTTTCTCAGGCCACCGTCTCTGAGCGCCGGTCAGGTGCTGGGCCTGTCCTAGCGCTTCCGGCATCTGCTCAGACGCCCTCCTGCGTCCCGCCGCAGGCTCTGCCC